TTATTATTATTATTATTATTATTATTATTATTATTATTATTATTATTCACAAAAATGACAGTATACACAGCAAACAAGATAACTATGCTAGGTTTCGTATCACAAATCGCTAGTCGAACACTTCCCAAGTGTTTAGGACTGCGTGATGTATCGGCAGATTATGTGAGCAGATCCCAGTAAGGTGGCCTTCTGCAGCTGACCAATGGTGATTTTGTCAGCGCCAATTGTTTTCAAGTGCTTGCCTAGGTCTTTAGGCACAGCACCCAGTGTGCCGATTACCACTGGAACCACCTGCACTGGTTTATGCCAGAGTCTCTGCAGTTCGATTCTCAAGTCCTGATATCTGGTGATTTTTTTCAAGTTGTTTCTCGACGATTCTGCTGTCACCAGGTATGGTAATGTTGATGATCCACACTTTTTTCTTCTCCACAATTGTGATATCCGGGGTATTGTGTTCCAAAACTTTGTCAGTCTGTATTCGGAAGTCCCACAGTAGTTTTGCATGCTCATTTTCAACCACTTTTTCAGGCTTATGATCCCACCAGTTCTATGCTACAGGCATTATTATTATTATTATTATTATTATTATTATTATTATTATTATTATTATTATTATTATTATTATTATTATTATTAATCACACAGTCAGCCAGATGTTCCGCCTGGTATTTTTTGTCTACCTTTTGAGTGCTTACCAAGGATCTGGGATAGGCAAATCTAGATGTTTGATGATGTTACAGATGTCGCCACAGGATGGAAGCTGTTCCAAGTAAAGCTGCCTTTTGCAATTGACTGATGGCAAAATTGTCAATGTCCGTGCAGTTCAAGTCATTCTCCAGTTGTTTTGGGACTACCATAGTTGTTCTATTTCTATTTATAGATCTTTGTATTTTGTTATCTTCTCCAGTTCTTTCTCTTCTATTCTGCTGTCTCCAGGCGCTGCCACATCCACAATCCAGATTTATTATTATTTTGTTGTTGTTGTTGTTGTTGCTTGTCAGAAGAAGATCGCAAAAGGGGATCACATTACACTGGGACACTGTAGTCATCATAAGTATGGGCCAGTTGTCAAATGTCTAAATTTTGCTCATGTGACTATAGAGATGCTGCAAATGATCATAAGTGTGAAAAATGGTCATAACTAATTTTTTTCAGCACCGTTGTGACTTTGAACAGTCATTAAATGAACTGTTGTAAGTCAAGGACTATCTGAAGTTTGCTTTTCATTGGCTCATAAAAAACTCACTTTGCATTTTTTTCTAGATTTTTCTTTCTTAATTTTGGCTATCTGGGGGCTCATCTGGAAAGTCACATTTCCTATTAATTATCCACTTCTTGTCTTATTTTATGACGAATATTTTCCTAACTAAGCTCAAGGCACAAATAAATGATTTGGTGCCAAAAGTTATCACTTTATCAACACACAATCCAACAATCGAGCTTGATTTCCCTTGTTGGAGAACAAATTTTTGCCAGATGTTAAAAAATTCCATTAATCATAGAGAACAGGTGTCTTTGATCTGCACATAAGATGGTATACAGCTCCTTTATGAAACCCAAATAATGTATTGATTTACATTAGCAATAGAAAATTAGTCATGCAAAACAGATTTCATAACACAAATACAAATTTTATTTTTTACAATCACAATGATAATTAAGCAGTCCCTCTGGTTTTGTTGTTGAGTATTTATTGCATTTCTCACTGGAGACCAGGTACTAAAACTTTGTAGATCAATATTTTTTGACCCAGCATTTCCTAATTTGGTGCCTTCCAACTGTGTGTCACTTCAGTTCCCATAGTTCCAAGCCAATAATGGTTAGTAGAGCTGGTGAGTTAGTCATCCAAAGCAGGGGTCGCCAACCTTTTGGACCTCAGGGACCACCAAACTCATAATTTTAAATCCCCGGACCAAAGACCTTGGGAAAATCCCAAAACAAGTCTGCAGGAAAATTCCCACCCCATTTTCTTACCAATTGATCATTCTTTATTTAGGATCACAGGATACCGTCTCCAGCTCCATTCTCGGGGGAGGGAGGAGAGAGAGAGAGAGAGAGAGAGAGAGAGACTGACTCTCTGACTTTTGGCTTCATGCAAGGAAAGCAGCAGAAGCAGCAAAAGTCTTTCTTTCTCTCCCCAAATTCTACCAGGAATGAATCTTTGTGAGACTTGTCATGCCAGCCTTCTGTCATGCCTTCTTGGAGAAGGATGCCTTGCAGAGTCCCAAAGACTCATTTCTGGTGGAGTTTGGGGGAGAGAAAGAAAGACTTTTGCTGCTTTCCTTGCATGCAGCCAAAAGCAGAAGAAGAAGTGGAAAGAAGCAGCCGGGTGGTCGGGCAAGTGGGGCAAGGTCCCCCCTCCACCCTTCCCCCCCTTCCCTCACTACCTCGTGTTGTTCGCAATGCAAGCAATGCAAGCCTTGTGTTCCCACGGGCTAGGGGGTGGCGCAGCCTTATGTTCCCGTGCAGCCTGGATTAATTGCTTTGGGGGGTGCTTTGGGGGTGACATTTCTTTGCAGACCGCCAAAATTTTCCCAGCCCACTGGTTGGTGACCACTGATCTAAAAGATAGGGAAATTTGCTTCAGATATTAAATATGCTTGAACTTTCCTGATTCTACTGAAGAATAGAGGGCTAACTCATTTGTTTATGTATGTTCTGTATGTGAATATTCACAGAAACAATCCTAGTTTTCATAGGGACTATGCATGAAAATTTATGCAGTTTGCCATACTTCATTTTGTTATATTTGCTGCCCAATCACAAGAAGAATCAGTGGAAGTTAAGAGATTCTATGAGTTTAAAACCTTGAGACAATGTCAAATGTTCTCAGTTCCTTGAATGTGTCTTCTCACTCCATTTGTCCAGAGAAAGACTTAGTCATCAAATTAACACTGAGGGGGGATATTATTGGGGCCCACTGGGCTAGATCTTCCCAGAAGCCCCTAACAAATTCTTTGCCCCAGATACTATCTGGGAACAATATTATATGATGATCTGCTATTATTTCCAGATATGCATCTATAAAAAGAAAGGTCAGCTGTCTGGGTGTTGAAAGAGCTCTTTTTATTGCCCTTGCTACAAAAAAATGGCAATAGATAGAAAAATAATACCAAAAGTAAATAAATATTGCTTTGATTCTCCAATTTGTAGTCCCCTTTCAGAAAAATTGATGAATTTAACTGGGCCAATTACTGCATTGACTAAGCCTAATGTTCACTGAAATAGCAATAGTATAGCAATTAGCCTTATATTACTACCCCATAGTGCTTTAAGTATTCCCTGGGCAGTTTACAATGTCAGCATGTTGCTCCCAACAATCTGAGTCCTCATTTTACCAATCTCGGAAGAATGGAAGGCCAAGCCAACTAGAATCCCATCAGGATCAATCTCCTGATATAATCTGCAGTCATATACTGTAAATATAGCCTGGACAAAGTTATATTCAAAGTTATTGTTATATTCATTCCTATCCTATTAAAATATATCCCAGACAACTGGGGGGGCGGAGCTGGCATCGCGATGATACGGCATGCAATCTTGGAGGTCTGAGATCGCTGCCGATATCTTTGCTCCTGGACGGTCCTATCGGATCTAAACCATCCCGAAGAGACGGTGAAAGTGAAGAGCACATCCTGTCAATCCCAGGGATACCACAAAGTCCCTGGTAGATCCAGGAAAAGCTCTTCTTGCCAGCAGCAAAGAGGCAGCCATTAAAGCTGCTGAAATTGGGACAGCTCCGAAACTGAAGAGAACAGAAAGAGACAGTGTGCCGGTTTGGTGAGAACTTTTTCTTTATTCTAAGATCTGAAAAGACACCCTAAAGAAAAGAAAGAATCTGTAAAAGTTTTGACAGAAGTGATTAAGCGGCGATTTTAAACAGGAATGTCAAAGTAATGTTTTTTTCTCATTGCTGCATTTTCTATACACTATCTTATATTTTGAAACTGGACTGTTTTTTTCTTTTACATCTACTTTTTTCCTCCTTTTTGATTTTGTAATATTTTAGGCTAGAGGCTCCCTTTTAGTTATTTCCTTTTTTTTAAATATATTTTTCTTTTTTTTATTAATTCTTATTATATCTTGCTTGGAAAAGGAGGGGGAAAGTGAGAGCAAAGAAACTTTGTAACACTGCCAACTAGAGGCTTGAAAATATTCTATTTCCCTGTAGTCAGACAAAGCTGAGAAAGAAAGAACTGAGACTCTTTTTCAAGGACATTGCTATTTGATAAGATAGAGGGAAGAGCATGGGAGAGTATTATTGCAGGTGCTCTTCTGGGTTTCTATCAACAGCTGGAGTCTGGTGTTGAAACCTAGGGGGAAAAAGGTGATAAGTTTTTGGAGAAGAGAGTTATAATAAGAGCCTTGGATAATTAAACAAAGTGCAGTGTGCTCTTTTTACTTTTTCTAAGTTGTGCTATCCCTCCTCACCAGCTTTAT